TTAGTAAGCATTAGATCTGAAAAGTAAAATTGGGTGAAAATCTGAAAACATTTTGCAAAGAAAGATTTCTTTGACACATTAGCGAAAAATAAGAAAAGCAATTAACCATAAACTTCCATTTGGTGACTTGTTTCTCTAGATAGTTTTACGGGCGAAAATAATTTATGATTTTTTTTTTGATCATTCGTCTTCTTTAATTAACCTGAAAATGCACATATTTATTAGATTTGCTAATAATACATTATTTTCTATTAAAATACAGCTGCCAAAAATAGTTTTATTATTATGATTAAATTATCCTCTATTGCCCAAACGTGATAGTTGTTAGCGACGCTGACTGCCGTACCGGAGGGTGCGGCGAAAACCCAGGGAATGGCATGAATGTTTGTAAATGTATAGTGTCTGTGCGACCTGGGGGCACTCTAAATATGTCGAAAGTCCTGTCAAGAGATTGATGGTGGGAAACCTCGAACCCGTCCCCCCCCCACCGGGGTGCTCTCGATCAAAATTGGGGCGGAACTGAGCAAAGTCGCATTGTCACCTGTATGGTGCTCAAGGCTGTTGCCAACGACTGGCACAATCTTGCACTCTTTTCTACGATGAATTTCGTGAGCATGTTCTGATGTTACTGTCAAACAAGGGAGATAAGTCACAACAACAACAACATCAGATTTTCTTCTAAGAAGGCCGAGCGGTAAAGCCGGTGAACGCTTGAAATTCCAACCTGGATTCGATTCCAGGCGAACGGGCTGGCTGCATGGGTATCTTCGTGGTTTTCCCCATGTGTAATATCTATACGAACCAGTCTCCCTCAGAAAGTCCTCCACGAAGGCGTCCGTTCCCTTAAGCAGATACCCCTAGTGTGCTTTGTCGTAATCTCTGTAAACGAAACTAAAACGACCCTTCTAAGATTAATGGGAAATATTCAAACTAACCAATTTCAATTTATTTCCTGTATCTTTGAAGCGAAGTATATTTTTCACTAAGCTCCGAGATAAATTATTTAAAAAAATTGTAAAAATTGAATGAATGTAATGAAAAAGTCAATTCCTTTACCAATTTCCATAATAAATAAATTAAAAATAATAAAAGTGAATAAACGTAATGGAAAAGTATATTTCTTTACAAATTTCCCCGGCAAAGAAGTTAAAAAATAATAAAAATGAACGATTAGTAGCAGTTTTCCCAGTTAATTAAAGATTATGTCTAAAAAAATTACTCTTAATTCGATTTGTAGTGGTTCAAACATCCATTTGTTCATTAATTTGTACCGGTTCATATTGCAGTTACAACATCAAGCTGTTACAGTTTCACTTTATACACAGTAACTAATAAATACGTACTTTAAATATAGCATACATTGAAATCTCTTAGATGTAGGAGTTTGACAGCTTTCCTTTAAAAAAAATCTGATGTGTACGCACATGACTTCTTTGCACGGAATATTAAATTATACGCACTTTTTCTTGCATTTCATTTAAACTTATTGGATTGAATTAAATCTACTTTGTCGATAGCGCATAAACCACTGTAAAATAAATGCACTCTTTAAAATTCACTATATTTGTTTACCATGCCTACACTCTGGCGCTAGCTTCACTTAACAGCCACTTTAGTTCCCTTATATTTTGTTCATATTATAACTCAGAATGCATATAAATTTACATCATTTGAAGAAATCTCTAATCATTGCCACATGTTCTATTCAAATACTATAATAAATAATAAGCAATGTATAAAAGAAATTAAGCAAATAAAACAGAAAAGAAACAGTTTTTCACAAACGATTCAGTATTTCTCATTCAATTAATTTAGTTCTTACTTCCCGACAAGGCAAAAATATATTAAAACTCAAAATATTCATATTAAAAATTACGAAGTAAATCTTAAACACTTATTTCCTCGAATAAATTCCAGAATGGATTAAGTATGATTTAATTCGCAATAATAAAAGAAGATGTTATCTTTCTTGTTACGAAACTTAGTTTCTCTAGTTTGGCATCAAATTCGTTATTTTGTGAAGTTTAAAATGTAAACAAACATGTGCGCCATCGCAAAATTCATTAGGCTTAGCTGCACTTAAACAACTTTTAAATTGTTGATAACTCCACAAATACTGCATGCAGATTTACGAAAGGCAAAAATCCTTAACCAGAAGATATGAACAACATAATTCAATCACTTTTAAAGCAAAAAATGCACAATTTACAAACATATACTGAGTTTACTGAGCCGAGTAACAGAGTGTTATATATATATATATTGTTTCAAAAGAATAAATTGAATAAATACAAATTTAATTAATTCTTTGCGCCATTGCTGCAAGGAATGAAATTTAAATTTTAATAAACACGTATACGTAAAAAAGCAAATTTAAAGTTAAAAAATTTAAAAAGTGTGCAAACGTATAAAAGATTTAATTTTCGAACTAATCTACGATATCATTTAAATTCAAATAGCATAAGTAAATCAAGTGCAAAACCAACCACTATGTATTTACTTTTAGTTTTGACTTTTACCCTTGCCTGCATGAATGAGCTCATCACACTTGATTTCAGTAGAGACCTCATCTTACTTATCAACTCTTTCATACGGAACCGCAAATTCTTTGTAAATTTTGGAAATGAACACTCTGAGACCAAATATCTGAAAGCCGGTGTAGCTCAAGGCTCTATTCTTGGTCCTATTTTGTATCTTTTTTACGTTTATGATTTACCCAATAGTGCCGACCTCAATACTTACCTCGGATGTTATGCTGATGACACCGCTCTTGCCGTAAAGTCACATAGTCAAGAGCATGCATTAATTAAACTTCAAGAAAAAATTCCAGCCATAGAGGAATGGTGCGCTAAATGGAGAATTGCGATTAACGGACAAAAATCCCAGTTGATTATCATCGGCAAAAAACATTCCAGAATCCCTATAGACAGAAAAATTAATATCTTTAATGAAGAAGTACCACTTGTTAAGAAGGCTACATATCTTGGAGTAGTCTTAAATCACAGATTTACCTGGAAAGACCACATTCACAATATTAAATGGAAGACCTCCTATACTATGAAAAACCTCCTCCCGCTAATTGGTGAAAACTCCAGACTTGATCTTAAAAGGAAAAGACACATCTATACAGCAATTATCAGGCCAATTTTCTGCTACGCTTTCCCTGCCTGGGCGACTTACACTCAAAGTGACATGAAAAAAACTTCAAGTTAAGCAAAACAAACTTCTCAGAATTATTACTAAAGCGCACTTTTATGTTTCGAATGAGACCTTACACAGAGACCTACGTATCGACAGAGTTGAAGAGTTCCTTCATAAAGCTAATAGAAAATTCTTTGAAAAGGCAAAAAAATGTTCACATATGAAACACTTCAAAGTGTTCGATTATCAGATCTTTGCGGAGGACGCACGTATTCGACCACTCGCGGCCTTTACCACTCGAGACTCGAACTTCCCTACGTAATTTTATCACGAGTGCAACGTCGCTGTAAATATGTATATAGACCTTATTTTGCCAGTATTTTATTTATGTACTCATTTTCATTTTTATTCGCATGTATTTTATTATTCTAATAAATTGTATTGTATCATCTTATTTGTGTAACTTTTATTATGACATGTACCTATCATGAACAACAGAACAAGTCTGATTTTCACCCTGTCTTCGCCTCTCCTGGTCCTGGGCTTCGTCTGCGTGTTTCTCTAAACTTGTGACGTCATTGCTGTCACCCCCTCTTCTCCCTACTGATGCCTCCTTTCAATCGTCATTGCCAACTACCGTCATGCGCCCTTCGAGCCTATGTGTTATGAGCTGGAAACATTGCGTAAAAACAGCAATATGCCGGCAATATTGATGATGATGATGATGATGATGAATGACGAAACACGAATTGAATGATTGAAGAGTTAGGTTTGGAGGCAACTTCCCCTTGATAAGTTTGTCTCCTGCCTGCTCAGCAGACATTCATTTATGCATTTAAAGAAATTTTTTTTGTTTAATTTTAATTTGCTAAATTGGTGAATTTATTTTCCTGGTTTGGTTTTGCACTTCATTTACTTATGCTATCTGAATTTAAATGATATTGTAGATTAGTTCGAAAATTAAATCTCTTATATGTTTGCACATTTTTAAATTTTTTTAACTTTAAATTTGCTTTTTTACGTATGCATGTTTGTTAAAATACATATATTTATATACTTTTGGTGCTGTCGATTGCAACCAAATACGAGTGAGTGCACATCTACATGTTATAGCAGTCTTACATACAAAATTTCGACGTTCTGAGGCTAATCGTTTTTGAGTTATGCGAGATAAGTACGTACGCACAGACGCCAAGAAAAATTCTCTTCAGAATTCATTTTAAATGTGTTTTATAATTTTTCGGGGTGGGAAGAGTCCTTTATTCTGTCCTTACTTGCGGATGTCGCTCAAAAACATCATTAAATTGCATTGGATAGAGATCAACATCGATATTTTCGTTGAAATATGATACCCAAAATTTTTCGCGATTACTATACTTCCTTTTTACTTCGTACCAGGAACTAAAAATACATTTTATTGCAAATTTATTATTTTTTCGTATAATTGACGTCATAAAAATGTATTTTTATTTAGTTTTAAATTTCCATTTTGCATTATCTTCAGTTTCCATGTAACTTCGCATTATTGATACATATATAGGCCTACTAGCGGCCGATCGGTAATGTCCCTGAACACTGGTAGTTCGGTCCGAGATTCGAATTCTATGAACGGGCTGGCTGCATGGGCATTTTCGTGGTTTTCTCCGTGTGTAACGTGTTAACACGAATCAGTTTCCTTTAAAAAGTCCCCCATGAAGACATCCCTCCCTTCCGAATAGTGCCTTAGGGCGGAAGACTTAAATAATAAAAATATGTCTATGATAAGCAGTTAACTCCACCTGCTACTATCGTAAACATGAATAAGTTTAAGCATATAAAATATCATTACTCATTAATTTCTTTATATGTTATACTTCTAGGTTTTCCCTAATGAAGATGTTTTTGATTCTGATGTTAGTAATTCTTTGTAAGTCACAAAGGGTGATAAAACAGATTTCACGGATACATTTCAACGTAAGTTTATTGCAAACTTGATTTTTTGTCACATTTCAAATTTCGTTCTGTTCATATTACTAATTCATTAAAAGTGGCTTTCAACCTTATTTTCGTGACTCTTCATAACTTGGTATAGAGAAACAAAATGCAATTATATTTCAAGTTTCAGATTAATGTCAAATAAACTTAGAATAAAACCGCAATTTGCATTGTAAATGTCAAAAATCGGTTTTTCCTCGAATTTCATGTTCTGAGAAGTTTCGAAGAACGTTTCCTCTTCTTCCTCTAAATTTTTATCATCGCTAACTCAACATTTTTCATTTCACAAAGATGTCACAGGTCTACTTACAAATTTAAGCAAAAGTAGTTTTTAGCCCAAAGATGCAATTTGCACAGAAGGGCTATTAATTTCATTTTGACATAAAACAGCATTTCACTTTTCAAATTGTTGCCACAAAATATTAGAACATTTATACACTGCTCGACACTGAAACTGCAACACCAAGAAGGAGTGTTCAGAAAGTGATGAAATTTGGGAAAAATGACCGAGACAGCATGCAGCAATAAGTGATCTTTATTTCAAAATGGTAGTCAAAATACAGAGCGAGAACGGCGTCGGCTCATTAGGATATAGATATTACGATATTAGGATGTTAGGATTAGGATTAGGATTAGAATACTCATTAGGATTCCTCATTAGGACGCTAAATACAAGGTTGTTTTTACGATTTTGATCCTCATTAGGATATTAGGATATGTCTCGTTAGGATGTAGGACCACCGCGGACAGCGATGCACGAAGAAACACGTGTAGGCATAGTCAATGAGAGTGCGGATGGTGTCCTGATGGATGGCTCTCCATTCCTTTTCAACCATTTGCCACAGTTCGTCTTTTGAACGAGGCAGGGGCAGAGTTTGCAAACGGCGTCCAATCACATCCTACACATATTCGATTGGTGACAGATCAGGAGAGTACGGTGGCCAAGGAAGCATCTGTATACCTTGCAGAACATGTTGGCAGATGCGAGCACTGTGTTGTCGGGCGTTATCCTGCTGAAAAATTGCATTAGGCAGCCCCCTGAAGGTAGGGGATTGCCACCAGTACATTATCCAAGTATCGTTGGGCCGTCACAGTGCCCTGAATACGAACTACAAGTGACCTGTAATCGTAGGCAATAGCGCCTCAAACCATTATGCCACGTTGTCGCGCAGTGGAGCGTTCCACAGTTACTGCCGGATTAGATATGTCTTCACGTCGACGCCACACACGTATGCGGCGACTGTCACTGGATAAACAGAAGCGTGACTCATCTGAGAACACAACGTTTCTCCATTCTGTCATCCACATCGCTCCAGTCTGTCACCATTCTAAACTGTGGCGTCTAACATTGGCATCTATGCTGTGGAGTGGCACTGTTCTTAACGGACGCCATGAGTGCAGGCCACGTTCAACCAATCGACGGGAAATGGTTCTGGTCGACACGGGAACATCCAGGTTATCTTGCCCATGCTGCAGAATTGCGGTACAAGTGACTTGCGGGACCGCCACAGCTTGTCAGCGGAGGCGTCGATACACGCGTGCTGACGTCACTCTGGCTGCACCTGCCCCCTCCTTCTTCCCACATTTCCTTGTTCCAACCATGTTCGTGTGTGTTTTTATGTCTTTATGTTACGTAATTACGAGTGTGTTTTTATGCTTTTACGTTTAATTTTGTATATCTATGTGTTTCAGCTTATATGAGTGTTTTAGTGTTTTAATGCTATCCTTTATATTCTTTTTTAAGTTACTTTGTGTTATTAACAACGTCCTATGTAAAAACTACCCGACATCTAGCACCTGTATGGCCATGTAAACTCCCGGTGTAGCCTCACGGGGCTCCAGCGAGTTGCTTCTTCGAGATAGTGGAGGACGTGGGACATATGCCTGTTTACCTATGTTATACGCCAGGCGTCCCCGTCCTCCGTCACCTGTCACCTGTTCCAACCATGTTCGCCATTGCCGATGCACCGTGCTCGCATCCATGTGGGTATCAGCTGCGATTTGACGTAAGGACCAACCAGCCCTTCTCACTCCAATCACCATACCCCTCGTAAAATCATCTATCTGCTGGAAGTGCCTTCGTTGACGGCGGCCTGGCATTCTCTCCTATTACACGTATCCTCCCGGAAAAAAACCAACTTTCTTCGATAATTTGTCTGGCAGAAATGACGACACGAATATTGCCCATTCTGCACATTCCTTCCCTTATATCTTATTTCACGTGCGTCGGAGAGCTGCGCATTTCACATCATTCGCATAACTCTGACGTGCGTCTACTCTAAAATTTGCATAAATTTCTGACCACTCCTTCTTGGTGTTGCATTTTCAATGTCGAGCAGTGTATTTAACAAATAAAGGATAACACACAAAACGTTAAAAAAAGCACCTTTGGGAGCAATGTAAAATCTGAAAGCTTTCAAAATATTTTTAAAAAATATTTTCCCCATAATCGCATTTTCTGTTGTTTTGAAGAGATGTGGTACTGCAAAGATATTCACTTTATAAATTTTATTTTTATCCATTCCACAAATGATGTTTCTCAAGACCTCTTTCCTATTATTGCGTCTGAAACGTAAGAAGATCTTTGCATTGAAAGTCTGATGAATGGACATAATGTGTGACAGTAAATATTCCTATCTTTTCGATTTTCAAACTGCTGACATCTTAATGGACAACACAGTTGTCACCTTACTGAGGCTTTACTCTCAGTTAAATTACCATTTGCATAATAAATCAATTCAATTTTTTTTAGAAATGCTTGTTGTGATTCATGATATCGAGCTATTTCCTAAGATTTCTCATGAGGTTTCAATTTCGTTCAAGTGATTAGAATTTCTGAATATTTCAGTTATTTAATTTGTAAGTTTTTCAGTATCTGCCATGCAGTCGCTTAAAAGAACTGTTACTTCTCGATTAGCTTTCTTCTCACCATATTTAGTTTCGTCTTTAAATACTAAAAGACATCATTTTAAACAACAATCTGGTCTCTCTCGTATTAAACGTGTAGAGTCATTAAGTTGTATCGCTGCTGGAACGTGAAAAATGTGCAAAAGTTCGGACCCCGGGTTTCACGAACACGCATCAAGTGTGCTTCTAGTTACATCACGAAGGCTATGTTGAAAGGAGGGAGAAAATGTTTACTTTTTGGTGAATCGTTTTTCGATCAGATTAGTTTTAGCCATTTATACAGCTCTTTTTCCAACTGTTGAAATTTCCCTTCCCGTGGACTACACAGAAAAAGACGCACCTAATTCTTCTTACTTCGAAATTAAACATGAACTTAATCACTGTAAATAACGCGCTCCTGGAAAAAGTTGAATGCTTTAGTAATTTGTATTTCAAAGATCAAATTTCTGTCACTTTCTGTCAAAATTTAAGTGTATATTTCAAGAAACAGCCATCATGGAGAATGCAGAAACATAACTACTCAATAAAAGAATTTACCAGTAAAAATCCAGTCTGTTTTCAGGGCGTTGATTCTAGTTGATAATTAATGACTTGCCGTTCTAAGTAAGTATGAGCTCAGTTCGTATTTCCTTTCAATAAACTGGATTCTAAAAAGATCTCACACGAATCCAAATCATCCCCCCCCTCTTTGTTGGGAAATCGGTATATTTTAAAGAGTATTTTCCTAGCCGAGTATGCTTACGTATCGTTATAGCTAATCCTATCACACAATTATAATCAGAAAATGTGTTAAAGTATTTTTCTATAAGATGAAAAACAATTAATTGTTTCCATTTACAAGCTTTGGCGACTGAGTTACTTACGTACAAAACACTGCAGTACTCAAGAAAGCATGTGAACAAGAAAAAGTATTGAACAGGAATTAAATTCGGTTGTTATATTTGAATAAAAATTTCTGTCTGGCATTTATTGCATAAAAGAATAAAGTAATATAAACAAAAACTACACCGATCTTTATAATGGAATTATCGCCGTAACAAATATCCATAATATAGTTGATAACCACCCCTCGCGTCCTACAGAAATAAGCTTTCAAATTGAATGTTTTTACAATGAAAAGTACTTTAATGTACTCTCATAATAGGGTGATATTTTTACCAATTATTGTTAATGAAATTATCGCTATAACAAATGGTCATTATACTGTGCATCAAATGTATTACCAAATTAGCCAGTAGCCCTTCTTCGTGTGCAAGACTGAACCAAATTCAATTTAAGCTGAATGTCTATGGATTCTTTGATTCTAGACAATGAATAATTACTTTTTCCATAACTATATAAAGTATTTCTCCCGCCTTCTTGGCATGCCTTCGTGGTGTGTTGGTCTGCACGCTCAGCGCGTAATTGAGAGGTCCGTGGTTCGATTCCCGGCGAAGGCGTTGAATCTTTTTCATCTTGCCTGCTTCCCAAAAAAAAATACCTAATGTCTTTATAACGGTACTCATATATCTTTAATTAACATAAAATCTACGTGATGCCGTGTTTTTGCGTATTATGTTAAGGGCATAACCAAGCGTTAGAATAGTGTTTCTAAGTATTTTAGTATTGCAATACACTTGCATATACAGAATTGTTGTTGGAAGGATATTATTACAAAAATATGGGTAAAAAATGTTTAACAAAATAATATAAAAATAAATGTGTGTAATTTTCAGCGATTAATTAATAATTACAGATTAAAGGTTATAAATAAAATGTAGAATTATGTAAAAAAACAAAATGCAACAAAACATTTCGTTTTCCGGTAAAAATTATCTCGTTACCGCACTTTAGTAATCACTGGAAGAAAAAGTGTTTCAAATATATCATTGATTTCCTATTTCGTACGAAATTTTTTTTAACTTCTTTTGTTCGGTGGAAGAAATTCATCGAGAATGTTGTATAACAGGTAATTGGCCTTTTTCTTCTAATCTGCTACTGCATTAATTTCTTGCGACAAACATCTTTGATGAATCTGAAACTTAATAACGAGAAATGGCCTCCGTATAAACGGCTTTGTAGATTAAGCCACTTTTATATTGAGTGGTTTTTGTTAACTATAATTATTATCATAATCAAATAACCCCAACCGATCCGCTTAGAGATTGCCAAATATCAGGATTCATGCCAAAGTTTTTCTAAGATATTCAGAAGGTACTGGAATACAAAGGCTGTTCGCACATTTTTTAGACGATTTTGGTAAACGGTAATAAAAACTCCTTTCCTGCAAAAGAAATAATTGCAATTGTACTATGTTTTTAAAAGCCAAAATTATCGTCTGTGGCTTGAAAGTTGTGTTTTATTCAAAATGGCGAATTTAACAAAGCAGTGGTTCGAAGGCTACATTTACGCTCTTTCCGAAGAGAAATATGCATATACTCCGTTATCCAAAAACGATGTGAGAGTCATGGTTTTGTGATATCTAAAGCGTCGATAGGTAATATCATCAACAAGAAAGGAAAAAAACGTCAAATTGGAGCCTCAAGTGGGACAAAAATTCCAAACAAGTATCCAAGGAAATAACGGACATCTGCGACTATTGCAAAAGTACGTTGTTTAATGTTAAAAGAAACTCCCCCTAATCAAAGGACAGTTGCAAAATCATTAAAATGCTCGGTGTCCACTGTAAAAAAAATGATAAACGTTGATTTAAATCGTAAGAAAGCGAAAAAACGCAATGTGCATCGTTTTCTTCCAAAGCATATCGCTCAACACAGGACAGGCTGCAGAATTCTATATGAGAAACACTTATCCAAAGAAAAATGAAAAACAATTATCATAATAGATGAAGCATGGGTGTATTTAAATGATTGTAACAAAAAAAGAGCCATTTATTATCATAAAAGGGGAGAAAAAAATTTAAGTACATGGTTCAAAGAATCGAAAGAAAGTTTTTCTAAGGGATTCATGATTGTTGCTGGTTTTTCCTCTTATAATGGCAAGTTAAATATAAAGAGAGTGCAAAAAATGTCAAGATTAACTCGAAATACTATCAGGAACATATTTTATCGCCAGTTTTTCTGAATTAAATACCATCGCTTTACCCACAGTGCCATCAATCTAGGAGACTCCATCAGAACAAAGATAGCAGACACACATCAAAATCCACTGTAAATTTCTTAAAAGAAATGGAACAAAAAACTGGTATCAATGCCATACCCTTCACTGATATCCCTACTAAATCTTCCGATGTGTCACCTATGGATTTTTGTGCTTTCGGACTTTTAAAAACTGCATTATCCAAACTTTGTCCCAAAACCCTAACAGGACTCTGGAAAGCTGTTCGGGAGGAATGGGATAGAATACCTCTTCTGCCACTTCAAAAGGCATTATTATCCTGGAAATTGCGGTGTCGAAAGGTAGTTCAGAATAAGGGATATCAAATAGAACATTTAAAACACAAGAAATTTATGTAATTTAGTTTTGTGAATACAATATACATCATCTAAAAAATGTGTGAACAGCCTCTGTATTACAGTTTCGTCCCTTTTCTCAAAGCATATATAGCTTGACACATATATTGAAAGAAATTAAATGGCAGATTTTCATTTATTTTTCAAGTCTATTAATAACACGATCTACTCACTCTGCTTCGAAATCTCTATTAACACTTGGAAAATTCTATGTATTCCTATCAATGGGAAAAACATAAAATTTCGCAATGAAGTGAAATTACTAGGGCTTGTATGGGATAAAGGACTTACCTGGCTACCTCACATAGCATACCTTAAAACAAAAACTCAAGCCATTGCAAACGAAATACGTCACCTGCAGGGTGCCACTTTGGGATGGAACCCTCACTTCCAAAACGTACTGTATAAAACAGTATTTGAAAAAATGGTTAACTACGCTGCCATCTGGGCGTCACCAGTGGGAGGATGCAAAGTTAAACAGCTACTCTCAGTACAACGGCCATTAGCTCTCACCATAACCATAGTCTTCCGAACAACTTCCACAGATGCGCTAAACGTTTTAGCCGGTCTGCTTCTACTCCACATCTACGTTGAGCATGAGGCAGTGCTAGCAACGTTACTCCATCCGCAACAGGAAATTACCTACCATGGCTCCACATTCGCATCTACAGAGTTTGACCTACGATATACTGTATCCAACACCCATCCAACAGACAGAGGAAAAGGCTCTTTAAAGTCATACTGACACGGCACAGCGGCTCAGAGCTGACCTCAGCCATCTTCACAGATGGCTCAAAATCTGATACAGGTGTAGGAAGTGCTCTAGTCCATCTCACTAACTCTGTACAGGCATATCACTGGAAGGGGCACCTCGCGGAACATAACAGCGTCTTCCAGGCAGAGGAGCAAGCAGTCCGCTATGCCATTACACAGAACCTCCGAAATATACAAATAATCTCTGACAGCCAATCTATGCTACAAGCGATCCGTAATTCTTCACATTATTCACAACCAGTAAGGTCCATATAACAATTACTTCGCAAGAGCACGTATCTGAACATTATGCTCCATTGGACCAAGGCACATGCAGGATATGCGGAGAATGAGTTCGCTGATTCTCTAGCCAAAGAAACGGCTTCTAAAATAGAGGCAACCCAATGCTACTACCCGGCACCAAGATCCTATCTTAAGCGCCGTATTCTGAACATTTCCCTACAAAAATGGCACACGGAATGGGACAACAGCGACAAAGGGCGTTGTATATACGATTTTCTCCCAAAAGTCTGCATAAATAGACTTTGCTCTGCCGCACAGCTTACTAGATATATCAGTGGACATGGCCCATTCCATGAGTATCGGCCGTTGTTTCTAGATATTAAAACACGCCTCTCAAGGAAAAATGCTTTAATTTCTATGAATAAGAACTCGAAACATTTTCTCTTGATAACCAGCATACTATTTTACGCAGCAGAAATTCTGCGTACTCACCCTCCATTTCAATAAAAATTCTTTAAAAGGGCAATGATTAAGAGCTTTAACTGTATTGGGAGTCGATAATCTTAATCACCAATTCCATAACTTTGCAAATTTCTTCTGGAAATGCCTGCGCACAAAGCACCCGTTTCAGGTGATGCGGTGATGATACAGTCGTAAGTATCTTGTGATTGATAAATGGACCATTTTACTGAAATCAGTACAATGGCCCATTTATCAGTACATCAGTAAAAATCTTACTAGAATCAATAAAACGGCAATTTTAACGTTATACACCAAATAGCATAAAAATGAAATTTCGTTTCAAAATATCTGGGTTTTTAGTTTTTAGGCATTTCCAGTTTAAAGTTTTTTTTTATGTTATATGCAACACAAACATCTTCTATGTATTTTATGTTGCCTAAATTTAGCTGCTATGAAAATTTTTATTTCAGACACTGGAAAAAATTTCAAATTTGAAAGCTCTAAAAAGTTAAAAATCCTGATATTTTGAAACCAAACTTTATTTTTACGTTATTTTGTTTCAAATTAAAATTGCCATTAAATAGGTATATTAAATCAAAGCATTTCGTTAATTAAAATTTGGCATATGACAATTACTACGACAGCACAATTTGAAGTATAATCAGTACAATCAAAATGCCGAAATCGGTACAAAACATATTTAAGAATATGATTGGCGTATATGTTTTCAGTTGTTTTCATGCTTGTAAAAAATTTAAAGGAATCCCTTTGTGTTGTATATTTAAGATTTTCTTGCTTTTACGGGCGTGTGCTCGAATGTGCTATTTTGTGGAAGAACTACACTCAAGGAGCCAAAGAGCCACATTTCGCTCGCGAGCCACGGTTTGCCGACCACTGCCCTATGTAAAGTTCGGGCAATGTAGGGTATCAGCTAGTTCCCAATGTTTATTCGTAATTACTTTATTAATATATTATTTTCTTATAAGAATTTCCTTTTATTCCCTGCTTTCTTTCAAAAGACCTTCATAAATGTGAATTGCAATAAATCACAACTATATACACAAGGGTCATACAGAATCACAACATGTAATTCAAGAGGTGGAAAAAGTTTGAGAAATATGTCTTTAAAAGTTTGTAATCGATTATTTTCTTTTGTCTCGTATTCTTCAGAATAATATTTGGTAACTTCTCAGTTTTTTAGCTACTGAGCTCTTCAATCGTTATCACGCGATTTCATACATTACTTTTGCATAAAAAAGGCCTAATATTTATATTATGGCACTGTTTATTTCAAAATAAAAAAGTTTATTAAAACTTATCTTTAGATTTTCTATAATATTTCCTAAAAATTCTATTTCTTACAAATATAATATTGTTTTATTCAGAATAAATATCTTTAAGCCTACGTATTTTGATTCCATTTTATAGAAGACGACTGATCGTCTCTGTACTTCTAAATTGACGTGTGCTGTTGTGACATATGATGAGTCAAATCGAGTCATTGACGTAATTAAAGGACGGTAAGTGTATATCAAAATTTGCAAGTCATGTTACAGACTGATCATCTGGCAGACTGGTAACATCAGGCAATATTAATCTAGCGACTGTATTTACAGCTTTCAAAGTGCTGCAAAACGTTATGCGCTGCAAAACCGTGGTTTAATTGAAGTCGTCTCAAGATATAACTAATTAAACCTAGACCTGGTGCTTCAGAACTCACTACAAACATAACCTTATTAAAATCACTTTCATATTTTTAGACATTCAATACTTACTTAGTTTTTATTTGGGAAGAAATATCCACGTAATTAATTTCATGATAGCTTTAGATATTATTTAGGTTTTGAGAAATGTAATGAGCTAATGTCTTCGGTTCAATCAAAATTTACTTTTCTTAATTGCCGCGGAGCTGAAAGATGATACCATGAAGCCTAAAATACTTTGAGTTATTTTTACTTCCTTGTACGAAGTAAAAAGGAAGTATTGTAATCACGAAAAGTTTCAGGCAGCATATTTCAAAGAAAATATTCATTTTGACCGCTATCGAATGCAATTTAACGATGTTTTTCCGTGATATCTGTAAGTAAGAACAGAATAAAAGACTCGTTTCCTCCAAAAAAATTATAAAACTGCTTTAAAATTAATTCTGAAGAGAATTTTTCGTGGCGTCTGCACGAACGTATGTACGTACGTGCGTACGTTCGTGCGTGAGTACGTATCTCGCATAACTCAAAAACGAGTAGCCTCAGAGCGTTGAAATTTTCTATATAGGACTGCTATAACATGTAGATGTGCACCTCGTATTTTGGTTGCAATTGGCGGCCGCACCAAACGTATATAAATATATTTATATATATATCCACTCTGTTACTCGGCTCAGTGATCTCAGTTTCTTTACTCTTATATGTTTGTAAATTGTACATTTTTTTTTGCTTTAAAAATGATTGAATTATGTTGCTTTTATCTTCCGGTTAAGGTTTTTATGCCTTTAGTAAATCTGTATGCAATATTTTTAAATTATCAAAAATTTTAAAGTGCCGCTAAGCCTTTTTTTTTATGGCGGCCATTGATTGTTTACATTTGAAATAGCAGACTAGTGGATTTGTTGCCAGTCTAGAGAAACTTAGCTTCGCAACAACAAAGATAACGCCTTCATTTATTATTGCCAATTAAATCATGCTTAATCCTTTCTGGAATTTTTTCGAGGAAATAAGTGTTTAAGATTTACTTCGTAATTTTTAATAGAGATATTTTGAGTTTTTATGCATTTTTGCCATCTCGCGAAGTGAGAACTGAATTAATTGAATGAGAAATATTCAATCGTCTGTGAAAAACTGTCTCTTTTTTGTGTTGTTTGCTTAATTTCTTTTATACATCATTCTAGCTTTATTATAGTATTTGAATAGAACATGTGGCAACGATTAGATAATTCTATTCTTTAAATGATATAAATTTTGTGCATTCTGAGTTATAATATAAACGAAATATAATACTGTTAAGAGCACCAGAGTGTCGCTATGGTAAACAAATACTAGAGTGAATTTTAAAGAATGCATTTATTTTATTGTGGTTTATGCGCTGTCGGCGAAGTAGATTTAATTCAATCCAATAAGTTTAAATGAAATGCAAGAAAAAATGCGTATAATTTAATATTCCGTACAAGGAAGTCATGTGGTGTACACATCAGATTTTTTTTAAATATCGAAGAGCTGCAGTGCCACAACTGAAAACATTAGCTCATTTGGACGCTTTTCTATGTACTTACAGAGATTCCACCTCCAGGGTGTAAATTTATGTCTTGAATGTGATACTGCCGGTGACTGCATTCATTTTATTGAAAGTTGTACACTCACCAGGAGGAGGGGGGATAAGTGCCTTACATGGAATCGGAAATGTAAGAGAAATGATTCAAAATTATAAAAAAGGAGTAAAATTTGCACAAGATATTATGAAAGTCATCAATTCATAACATAAACGTGTATCGATCGTATCTCTGATTGATCGAACTAACATACTGAAAGCGTTCAATTTATGGAAACTACCCTTAAAGGGAGAGAAAGACTTTGTGTGCAAAGGTGCAGGGACAGCTTAAATGTTTTTGTGTTTTTATGTGCCGTGTTATTCTTTTTAGTTTACTATCCCAATTTTCTTTTAACTTTATTATTTATATTCTGTGACGTCTTAAGGTTCGTAGAGAAGAGTTCTCACGGTCGTTTTTATAATTTCGGTATTTTTGCATTATGCTAATTCTTATGTTACTCGGTTCCCAGGCTTGGCATTCCGGAGAATGAGATTTTTTTTTTTTTTTTTTTTTTTTTTTTTTAAAGCTTTTATTTTTATTTGCACACGGCCACGGCCGGCTCGCTGGCTCGTGTCGTTTGTTGTGGGAAGGGTTGCGCTTTTCTTCATAAGGTTCAACAAACCAGGCGGAAGGGCTGCGCCCGTATAAAACAAAACAAAACATTAGCTCATTACATTTCTCAAGACCAAAATAATATCTAAAGCTATCATGAAATTAATTCCGTGGATATTTCTCCCCAAATAACAACGAAGTAAGTATTGAATATTTTTTAGACATTCAATACTTAAAACAGTTGTGTGACCCCTCTTAGATTCAAGTCAATTTACCAGACTAGTTTACAAAGAAGATGTTAGTTTTAGTGCTATTTTAAATACTGTTTTTGATTATTGACCGACGGAATGTTACGCAAGTTTTAGAGACTTAGCTTGTCAGATGATCTGAAAGCTTGAGCTCGTATTTATTGTTGGATGCGTAAGGATTCGTAACAGATTCAACACAAAAGTCCGATAATAGGTAATAAAATTCATTCTTATCAAAAGAAATGTATGAGAAACCTGGAATTTCCCTCAGAAGTATTCGTACAAGTACTCACAATAACACGCAGTATAATCAGTAGTTATACTTCAGACTACTAAAAAAGTTAAAACAATGCAATGCAAAGCGCATCTAAAGAGAAAGCTAAGTCTGATATCTCAGTTCACACGCAACTAACAATTCGCAACAACAGTAACTAAGCAACTGAGCTGAGATGTTCTCTCTCTCTCTCTCTCTGGCTTTTTATAGTTTTAAGGGGACGGCAACTTTAAAATAGCTAAAAATCAAACAAAATAGTGAATTTTTTTTTTTACTGTCATAATATTCCATATACAAAACTGCATCGTATGCAAAAAAAAAAGAGTTTAAATATTCTAACTTTTAAAGAAGTTACAAGCATTTCAAATGTGTAAACAACGTAAACTTTGTCCTTTAAATTTTGGAGAAAATGTAAAAAGATGTATTACAACAGTTATTTATTGATGTAATAATTAATATATTTGTTCAAAACAAGTGTTTATTTCTAAAACAAAAGGCTAGAAACGTCAGTATTGACAAATATTAATGAATTTAACTTTGGTTGTGTGAATACTATACGCCTGAACAGGAGGAAACAAAGTCGTTTTCACTACTTATTGCAAAAAAGCGTGATCAGCGTCGCTTGAACCAAGCAAAAGGAGGAGTTTACCTGCTTGGAAAAAACAGAAATAGTAAACAATATTGTAAAGCATTAAAAGATAATGTAATTGTAACAAATGAAGGTAAAACATATGATGCGAGTGAATTTTAAAAGTTTCATTGGATATAATGCATAAATCGTTTCTACCTCTAACTTCGAATCACATACTAATTTGCGAAATGTTTATTTTTCTCATATTTAATATTATGAGATTAAAAATAGTTAAATGATACGAAAATGTTATCTAGTGTCTACATATTTAGATTTAAAGTTAATTTGCTGTTTCTCATGGCGATGTAAGTTTGAAGACAACTTTAATTCGGTTTGGTTTTCTTAAAACAAAATTTTTCGCAGCTCATATCTCTTGAAAATGCTCTATGCGTCTCATTTTTAGTTTAAAATGTATTATATTTGGAAGAAACTATCTTGTTATATGCTACAGTCGAAGCAGGTCGTTTCGACGCCGACGGTTCGACGCCGACGGTTCGACGCCGATCGTTCGACGCCAACGTTTCGACGCCGTACGTTTCGACGCAGGGGCAGTTCGACGCCATATTGTTTCCGTACTTTTATTTATTTTTAGAATAAATATGAAGTAATATGACAGATTTTTATTTATCGAATTAGCGATTGTTTTCATGCATATTTGAAATAAATTTATATGTGTGTATATGTGTGAAAGTGTTCTAGATGTTTTTTGTGTGTCCCAGATTAGTGAGATTTTTTATATCCCGGGGCCTCGCCAACGTCAAGGCCCCGGGACATAAAAGAGCTTGTTCTTTTTTATTTATTTATTTCACAAAACAGCATCAAAAAGGCAAAATACAGAAATGGTAAATAAACATATGGTTACAGAGAAGTTATATTGCAGACAAATCTAATTACAGATAAATAAGATTACACATAAATAAGATTACAGATAAATAAGATTACACATAAATAAGATTATAGATAAATAAGATTACACATAAATAAGATTAGAGATAAATAAGATTACTTCACAGAACTGTTATTACACTAATCCATTTCAAAATTATGCACCACACCTTTCGGGTATTCCATTATCTCTCGATTTTCAAAATCTTCAACTATTACTTTAATTCTCAGATCAGCTCGCAGATACCTATTCCGCTTGTGCGGCGGTTCATCTCCACGTACAAATTGTTCATAACATTGGTCAATTGATTTTTGAACACGTCTGAGACCATCTATGAAATTCCATAATGTGGTGTGTGAAACACCAAATTCGGACTGTAGACGCCTGTGAGCTGCTTCCGCGAAATTATTGGTGCGTCCTTCGTTATTTAAGGTTCTAGCATAACATAACCGCTTTTCTGGTTTAAAAGTAGGATGACGGCGACGATTATTTCCCTGAATCCTTCCAACGTAATAATCTCCAAAGTAATCTAAAATTGGAGTTAACTCATTAGGTAAATTCTCACTCAAAACTTCTAAAGCATTTTCAAGTTCTTCGATAGGCACAAAACTTAACGTAGGAATCATGCGTACATAGAGAGCAAAATCAGCATCTGTATTATATCGTTGCATTAAATGGAATTCTGCTAATTTGCGCTTCATATTTTTCACAAACACCCTTGAATTTCTGCGTTTGGAAATTTGCTTGAAACGGTGTTAATTAAGGCAATTTCAAAATCTAAAGAAATTCTTTTCGGCTTAAAAAATGGCCAGTTGTCTTGAATCATTTCAATCATGAGTATATATGTTTTTTCCGCCTTGTCGGGTAAAAGGGCATAAATGATTGGCAATACCAAACCTCCACGTTCGGCCGTAGTAACAAAAACCTGGAAAATAAGATGTGGTGCTAGATTAATTGTTCCATCAACGTAAATTTTTCTTACGCGGTGAATCCAATCGCTGACACTGTCTTTTCTGAAAATTAAAATTTGGTCTTGATCACCCGATCTCCGAATCGCCGATAACAAAATTTTCGTTATTTTTTCCGTAATATTAGTAATTTTCTGGCAGTTCAATTGAAGCCCTGTCAATTGGTTTCTAAGGGCTGCTTTTATATCTTTTCTACGTCGTTTAATAACTAATCTTACGGCTTCTCTACTTGGAAACTATCCTAGTGCTCCAACAGACAGCTCTTGCGTTTCTTCAATGCGAATTACTGCGGGAGTTTCTTGTGTTTCAACAGCCCTTATCTGTATTGATGTTAAAGTGCGGACAACTTCCACGCGTGCTGCATTTCCTTCACGAGCAGGATTGCGAACAATTTTTAAAAATTCACCTGTAACTGCATCAGTGTAAATTCTTCCTTTACATTTATTGTTTTTGGAAAATTCAACTTCACAACGCCACGTTTTTTTGCTCCATCTTCTATATATTTATCGAAACAATATAAATATCCATCTTGCTCATACTTTTCTTTACCTCTTAGTCATATATTTTCCGCTTCCAGACATTTCTATCGCTGCAATTGCTAACATTGAATTAAAAAATGTCGACTGGCGTCCAAATAGATTACGGGGCTCTTTAGAGAAAATAAGAAATGCGCATGTGTTGATAATCGGCAATAGATAACGAAAAATCTGAAGCGATTTCATAACACCTCCCTAATCTGACACATACAGGTATCAGTACTCTAACACATACGAGTCGGTCCATGGGGAGAGTCAGTTAACAATAGCTTCATATTCAGAGTGAGGGATTATATACTTAAGATGACAAATGTTTACTTACAAGTTAGGCTTGCAATATCGTCAAGCCCATTTCCAATTCTGGAGTAGGTTTTAGCAGGGAAAATGAATTATGTGTCTTTCTCAAAAAAATCTATTATAACATATATTATATCAGGCATATCGCATTTATTTGAATGATGATGCAAACTTATTCTAAAAATAAGTAAAAATACGAAAAGTATGGCGTCAAACAAAAGCCAAAAAAAGTATGGCGTCGAACTCACCCCGCGTCGAAACGACCTCGTGTCGAATTGACCACGCGTCGAACCGTTGGCGTCGAAGTGACCAGTAGATCTAAGTATGCATTTTTGGATGTGAGGTTACTAAGAAGTTTAAACTTGTTATAATGTTTAACAAAAGGTGACATTTTCCCGAAAACTGGGTCTAAGTTCACAAAAATCCTTTTTAAAAATTTCTGATCCATCATATTCAATAACGGATACACAAAAACTTTTGTCAAGTCTTTATAACTAACTTAAACTAAAAAGTAGGAAAAAATATTGAAAATTAGCGCGCAAGGAGCATTAATTAAAATAATAAATTCTTAAGCATTAATATCTACATATAATAAAAGAAAGAGTCTGTCTGTGTGTGTGTCTTTCGTTCGCGCTGCGCGTAAGCTAATAGACCCACGGCTACGAAATTTGGTACATTGGTGCATCTAGACAAGAGCCAGTGCACCTCGAAGCGATTTTTTTTTCGAAATTCGAATTAGAATTGTTTGTATTTTATGTTTTGTGACGGAATCTCGTCATTTTGAGACATAATGGGCTATAGGAAAGCGAGATTTTACTCTACACACTCCATTTTCACATCGTCATGAAACGTAGGCACTTAGCTATTTTAAGAACTTAAAATAAATTTCGTGTTTCAATAAATCGATTCAATACAAATTTATTTAACAAAGGGAGCTTAACACCTTTTCAACGGGATTTTTTCTTTAAAAGCTTATTTTTAGAAATGTACAGTTTATTTTTCTTTGATTTTTGGACACGTTAAACTTTCATCCTTGCGACTGCTTTTACAAAAAGAATTTTGGGAAAATGATAATATTTTGTATTTAAAAAAAAATTAAGTGAAGCTTCCGAGTACACTTCTCACATCTCACATCTTTAAAACTGTAATTTTGGCAACAATTTTCCTTTCTTATTGTTGTTGATAGATTTTTGATGAAATCGCATCATTTTGAATAGTTTCATTCTTTTAGAAATATGGGTTTGGCAACAATTTTTCATCGTATTTCTTATGTCGCTGTTTTTAAGAGATTGGCATATTTCATTGTCATTTTTTTACATATATAATACATTTTTATTGATTTTTTTTATAAAGTTGTTCTGCAAAGTAAAATTCTGCGCGGATTTTTTTTTCAAGTTTTTTTTCATGTTATTTTTTGCATATTTCACTGTTTGTAAGACACTGAAAAGTTTTGCATGATTTTTTTATATGTAATATATTTTTTTTAAATTCTTTTTCGGAAGTTTTCTGCAGAGTAAAATTCTGCGCAGTTTTTAAATTTAACGTTTGGTGTTTGTTCCCTTCAGGCATTTTTACGGTACATTTAAAAGCCAGATGAAGGCTGGCAGCGTAACTGCCAGCCTTCGTAAATTAATTATTTGTTTTAAAAAATTTAATTTAAAATAAATTGAAAGTTTGATCATATATTTTATAAACTGTTGTTATAATACGTATATGTATAAAATTTCTTGTTGAAAACACAAAAACTTAAAAAAAACTAATTTTTAAAGTCCACCGTCCCCTTAAACCGATCGCGAGAAATTTCTAGTACTTCCTATTTCTCCAGATTAATGGAAAGCTATAAGAGGATGGAATTACGGCTACAGCTAACATAGTGGACAATTATATTTATTTCAGTTTCAGTACAAATTACCGAGATATCCGTTTAATTAATGTTATATGTACGTGCCTCTATATTCTTACTTACCCGGCGTAATTTTTCTCTTAAAATTTGTGTCGAGCAGCATTGCAAGAGAAAATACGACAATTTGAGTTGTAAATTCCACTAAAATTAGCTATCTAAATACAAATTTCGTAACATTATTTATATCATTATATGTCATATTTAGAAACGTTTAAATATGTAGTAGTAATTTTTTTTTTTTTTTTTTTTTTTTTTTTTTTTCAAAAAAAATCTAAAGCAGTATGGGGGCTGTTCTGCTGTTTGTGGGCCTGGATGGTCCCGTTTTAGTATTTAATGTCACGTTTATAGCTCTACTAAGCTCTGTTGAACCCCTAACGGTGGTACAGGTAGTTTTGATCAGTCATATGTCATATGCGTAATTTACATCGGCTGATTACCTAATAAAATAAAAAGAAATATCTGCTTATCTAGCAAAATAAAGAGTGGTCTTTTAAACCGATACATTTGGTGTGTTCACGTCAACTTTTATACTCTACCGAAACACGCTTAAATATCTAAACTTCCAACACTTTCCCAATCTAATGTTACAGTATGATCCGCTGGTATCAAGTTACTTCACAGATAAGTACTGTGATATATTGATACTTTATGCAGGGTGTATTTGTGATTCCAAACAAGCATATTTATGGACTTCACAAAAAAAGTGTGCTAAATTCCTTTAATTCTATTTATATATATTTTTGCTAAATCCACCAGACACCGAACACCGCTTACGTGGCGGTTTGTTGTAGAGTTGATGATGGAAGAAATAAAAAAAATAATTATTATTTTTTAATTTAATTTTGAAATAACCTTATAAAGTATCTCTCCCGCCTTCTTAGCATGCCTTCGTAGTATAGTGGTCAGCACGCTCGGCGCGTATTCGAGAGGCCCCTGGTTCGAGTCCCGGCGAAGGTGTTGCTCATTTTTCTTCTCTCCTGCTTCAAAATTAAATGTCTCTACAGTGGATCCCGAACTAAAAGGTGCTGAATGACGACTCTTCCTCACCAGGATTTGGCGACTGGGTCCCCAAAATCCCCAGTCGCCTTTTAAAAGGGGAAGTATATAAGGTATTTCTCCCGCCTTCTTAGCATGCCTTCGTAGTATAATGGTAAGCACGCTCGGCGCGTATTCGAGAGGCCCCTGGTTCGAGTCCCGGCTAAGGCGTTGATCCTTTTTCATCTCTCCTGTTTCAAGATTACCTGATGTCTCTACAACCTATTTAATTGCTATCGCACTCTTGGTTTGTCATATTTGAAACATAAAAAATTGTGAATTAAAGATCAAAAAGTCCAAAGCCTTTTTCTGGTGAATTATTTTTAGTTTCAATATGCTGCTTTTTAAAACTAAACTTAAATGTAAGGTATATAAAAGACTTCAAAATCCATCTCTTCTTCTTTTAAACCTCTGTAAGTGCACAATACTTCTATAAGTGCACAGATATGATATACGACACAGCAAAGTAAAAGATAATAAAGTACGCCCTGCCGCAACAATTCGGAGAAATTTTTAGAAGGGAATCTTTGCGAATCAAACTGAATGAAATAATATATTTTTTCAGCAATCTTATCTTGTAGTAAGAAACTGTTAATTCAGCTTTTCTCAATAATTTTCTTCTTCTTTACAGCTGCGATTGCCCAAAGGGCAAAGAATGCTCTTTTTTTAGACAAATTTCATTCGAATGTCTGGATAGAAATATCTGCGCGCGTTCCTATGGTACACATAACGCTGAGGAATTTCGCTGCACCTGCGTACGTGCTTAGAAAGATTGTATCACCTGCAATTCGTCTGCTCGGAAGGAAGAGATCACCACAAGAATGCACCATCCTGTTCAAGTCTTAAGATATCTTTTCTATCTTTCAAACTCTTTTTTTATTATTATTATTGAATAATTCTGCGTTATCTTAGTTTCGAATAATGTACGGTTTTATTTAACTCAAAAATTGTAAATTCAAATTTAATCACTTCAAACTGAATAAATTATACTTTTAAATCTAGTTGTGTTTCATGAAACTTTCCAGTAATGCATCAAAGAAGCATAGAAACACTTTCATTTTCTATTCGTTACCGACATTTAGATCAAATTTTTCCTTAACTAAGAAAACAATTCTGGTTAGTGGTAAAATTTGCTTTAACTACTTTTAATATTAAAATCAACACGTCACATGTTAAACAGCTAGAACATGTTAGAAGTAAAATTTGATCTCAAAAGTGAATATCCTTACATTCTTCACCCTAGGATTATTTTCTAATGCATGGCTTACCAAAGGTTAGCTACATGATAGCAAATTCGCCATCATCGAAAAATTATAGTTCTATTCACTCAAAATTTCACGTAAAAATAGGTAATTCGGTTAAAATAAAAATGTTGTGGTAAACAAAATATAACTAGATGTATTTGTTATAATTTAGGTATGTACATTACATCATAAGGTATTTTCTCCCTCCTTCCCGCATGCTTTCGTGGTATAATGTAAACATACTCGATGAGTATTGAAGAGGTTCAGGGTTAGAGTTCCGGCGAGAATAGATATTTTTTCTGTCTCCTGCTTCAAAATAACCTAATGACTGTACAACATTTTGCGCATTTAACAAAATATAACCGTCCTTCTATAAACACAAACGCCGGTTACAAAGACAACATACACCAAAACAGAACACTTATCGTTTAGAATTAACATTCGAGTCACTGCCACATAATATTGGAGAACCTATCCACATTGCAAATGAAGGTCCACTGCCTGCAAGTTGTTCTCGTGCCACTAGATGGCGTTCGATTTAATAGTTCGGTTACATACTATAAGGTATTTCTTTAGCCTTCCTGGTATGCCTTCGTGGTGTGGTGGCCTACACGCTGGGCGCGTATTCCAGAGGTCTGTTAAATAGGGAAAAATTCACCATTGTTACGATGCCGTAAATTACAGTTTTACTTTTAAAACCCTAACTTTCCAACTTAAGGTGCCGGACAAAACTAATCTTAAAATCAAAATAAATCAAATTCATATATCCTAAGAATTATTGCTGTGATCGTATAGTTTCCATTAGTAACTCGAGCGTTGTGTATCCGCACCCGGGAGCTACCGTTGGAAATGGCTTTGTTAATATTCAGGTTCCCTTTAATTGTCATAAAAAATCCTAATTATAGAAGAAACAAAAATTTTATAACCAACATAGCCTACCATTCAATTAATACAAATCACACAATAATCATTTAAACTGCATGCATATTTATTAATTATATTCCGATCAAATGACATTACATATTATTTTTAGATTTAATCCTCCGGAGGTTAAAAAGGAAGTTAAACACATAAATTTAAGGAAGGTATTTAAGATTACATATTTTTTTCTTGATTAATATAGACCTAGGTATTAGTTACATTTCTATATGCATTTCCTTAATACTTGTATATTTTAGAAATTCCTACGAACATCATTTTTACTGAGTCCCTATTTCATGGAACATAAAATTGTCAAAAAAATTGTAAGAGCAACAGGTTCCTGTAATCGTTAGAATAAAAGAATGAAAATAACTTCTAAGGGTGAAAAAGGAACTAAAAAAACTTAGCTGAAAAGTCCAGGAATGGTCAGACGTACATATCTCGATGTTATCACTAATGGCTCCCATCTCGGCTAGGCTTCCAGTCACTAATGGCTAGGTCCGGTAAGTCAAAGAATATGTATTGTTAAGAAGGAAAGCTTCGCAGCAGCAGGAGTAGCTGCCTCCGATCGAAAAGGGACACAACTGCGCATGTGTGAAATATCTGTCGCCAAAAAGCGCCAAAGCTCGAAGATGATGTCGAAGTTCAAACAGGTTCGAAGGTCACGTGTATCAAGAGTTTAAATCTGTGTGAATCCATTTTTCTCCTACATATTGACAGCTATAAAATCAGACATCAAACTGCGATATGGATAATACAAGTTCAACAAGTAAAGCAAAAAAGCACGAAAATTCGAGTTTAAATTATCGCGAAAAGTCAAAGAACGATTCTCTTAATCCGTGTTCCTCAATTTCCTGTACCCGTGGTGGAGGTGAAAGTCTCGGCCAGGTACATCACAAAGGGGGAAATTCTCGCCAACAAATTCCGTCCCCAAATCCCTTGGCGAATTGTCCCTCTTCTTTCTAGCGGCGTAGAAGACAAACTGGTTTACATTACGTCTATGGAAGCCTTTCCTTCTTTACATAGACTTTCTTTGGGTCAGCTTCAAAAATGTCTCTCCCTTTTGAAGTTCTGTTGAGAAGTCACGAGACACAGCCCTCTAGTTGACACCTCTTCTTCTGTCATCTCCTTGGCGTCAATAGTCAGGAAAATTCGTAGAGGTCACTGGTATTACTCCATAGCGGCTGTACATCGATTAAGGCTACGTAAATAATCCACTTCTGTAGACGAGTCAAGGAAAACTTGCATTTCTTAGAGTTCTGTAATAGGCTAGCAGATAATAAACAACGAAGACGCTCACTAAGAATCTTCTCGAGCGTTACCAAAATCCAGAGTAAATACGGATAATATCAGTCATCTCAGCAGCGTGTCCAAGATAGTCTGTCTTCACCCAGAAGTCAAATTTGCAAGCAACAGAGACCACATTCCAAGAGCAATTCAGCAGAACCGTGCGAGAGAGAAGCAAAAAAAGTGTCCGAACCCTCAAATTTCACTCTAAAAATACTGACAAGCACGGTTTCCCAGACTTGGCAAAACTCGCTCCTCAAAAGTTTCCAAAGTTCCAATCCTTTTCTTCCAAAACCCGTCAAGTCACTACTGAGCAAATCCACTGCCTACAAAAATTCTATACAATTCTCCCCAAAACCCGCTCGCAAGAGCCTGACCTCTTCTCGACCTTTTCCATTGACCTTGTAAACAGGTAGTTTTCTTGTAAACTACCTGTTTACAAGAAAACCTAATTACGTACATCTGCCTTCAGCTAAACTCTGAACAAAAGACCTAGCTTCTAGAATCTTGTGGAACATTCCCTGAATGAAAGAAGACAAGAGAACGAAATGGCGGAAAGGAAACCAATATCAGGCGACCCTGTTCTTTTACATTAACACCTTAAATCAAACTTAAATTTCACAATTAATCCATTACAGTTAGTTAGATACTTTTCTTTCCCTTTATATTTTTACATAAATTTTACTTGAGGCACTGGTTCACAGACTGTATCTCAACATATTAAGAATTAAGTGAAAAAAAAATAAAAAGAATAGTCTCTTTAAAATAAATGTACACGAATAAATGCTTCTTTCTACAGACACAAAAATTAAACTTAATATCTAATTAATTCAACCGAATAGGAAATTATTTAATTCGTAAAATCCCGAATTTTATTAAACAACAGGTCCGTGGTTCGATTCCTGGCGAAGGCGTTGCATAGTTTTCATCTTGCCAGTTTAAAAAAATTACCTAATATCTCTACAAGTGGCGCCCGAACTAAAAGGGTGTTGGATGATGATTCTCCACACCCAGGATTTGGCGATTGGGTCCCTTAAAAACCCCAGTCGCACTTTAAAAGGAGAGTATATAAGGTATCTCTCCCGCCTTCCTGGCATGCCTTCGTGGTGTGATGGTCTGACGCTGGGCGCATATTCCAGAGGTCCGTGGTTCGATTCCCGGCGAAGACGTTCCATACTTTTTATCTTGCCTATTTAAAAAAAAAATACCTAATGTTTCTGCAATGCAAATAGTTCTGGTACAAAAATACTTTATCAGCTCTGCAAAAAATTAAAACTTTTAATTATTATATATTATAAAGTTTATTTAAACTCTTTTCTGCATCTTCTTTTTTGCATCATCTTGCTACTGATTAATTTCATGTAAGAGAAACATGTAACATTTCTATTTGGTATATAACACTTCTTAGGTCCAAAATATGCTTTTGTCATATTAAATTAATCAGTAACAAGAAATAAATAGCACACAAATATTAATATCTATTTAAAATGTATAACCAAAACTACCATAAACAAAAGACTCACTTGGCCTTTTTAAATAGTTTTAATTAACAAAACACAAAATAAGATAAAACATTACAATTAAGGGCGTTATAATTACACATTTAAGTTACAAAGTAAATCGCGGGGAAACATTATGCTTAGTTCATGACTCCCGCACATCGACCTAGTTCCTAGTTCCGCTGATATACCGGAATTATCATGCAAACTTGCATGACGTGATCCAGCTCTCTGAAGTAGTGTCGTTCGACGCCTGGCTATAGCATTTCTTGACTGACTGCTGCCGTTGTTGAAGGAGTGCTGAGGGTCAGGTAAGGGGTGTGACCATGGCCACGTGGGTGTTGAAGTTTCAACTCATTAATATGGAGGAGTCTTGATTTGCTGTCCTGTGCCTCGTAAGTTGATAACGTCTCCTGATTTGTGTTGAAGATATTTTACAGAATTTTTTATAAACAGTAATATAATATGAAAAATAAGACGGATAACATAACTTCTATACATTAATTACACTATATACAAGTCCCGATAGCATTTTAATATTCGTAAATTAGGTAGGAAAATTTGTATCAATCATATGAGCTGCAAAGGGCCTTAGCATTCGATCTTCGTATAACAGCTCATAATGGAAGGTACCGAAATAGCTCAGAGTTCCGCACTCAAGGGCTTTCGCGAAAAAGCGTTCATTAGTTCGCTTGAGATATTTGTCTAGAAAGTCCAACTTGAGGTCTTTATGCAGCCTGGTCGTTACACACGTAATAGTGTGCATTAGTCATCAGACGGAGAAATTTAGATTATACAATTTTCAGTTTACCGATGTCCTTATCCGTAACCGCAGCCCAGGCTGGCGAGGCGTAACTTAGGATAGGCTTAATAGTTGAAGTATAAATAAGTTTTTTCTTATTCAGGTCCAGTCTGGAATTTTTCCTATGATTGGGAAAAGCATGTTAATAACACATAACGCCCTTTCTCGGCATGTAGTTCACGTGGTCAGTCCAAGTCAGTTTGTCG